GTAGCTTATCTCATTCAGCCCAGATGGGAAGAAATCTGGAAAAAAAAAGCATTTCAAATAATTCAAAGACATTTCACCAATCAACTCACTATAAATTTTCCCCTTAAGCTTTCCAAAATTCTGGATTTTCCCCTTAAGCTTTCCAAAATTATTGATTTTCCCCTTAAGCTTTCCAAAATTCTGGATTTCCCCCTTAAACTTTCTAAAATTCTGGAACTGGGGGGGTGTCAAAAAAGTCAAGATGGTGGTCAAGACAGTGCAATTAACACTTCACTTATTTTTTGTGCTTCTGACAGGTTGATTGCATTGTTGTGGCTACCATTTTGATATTTCTGACTCAACCGTGCAGACACCCTGATCCTTCTCTCTCTCTCTCTCTCTCTCTCTCTCTCTCTCTCTCTCTCTCTCTCTCTCTCTCTCTCTCTCTCTCTCTCTCTCTCTCTCTCTCTCTCACCCCCTCTCACCCCCTCTCTAATATTTGTTTATTGTTACATTGATATCCTGTTTGTTTCTTTCACAAGTGGAAGAGGGCATGCCTAGCATTCCTTCCTCTCATATTTACCCCAAGCAACCACTCTGTGAAGTTGATCAGGCTGACAGATAGTCATTGTCTCGAAAAGAAGCACTTCCATTTATATCTGAGGAAAGGATGCAGTTTCTTTGAAGGGCCAACGGATTACCTTTTAGCCTGCCTCTAAAAGCAGCTGCATCGGTTTTTTTTTCCAGCTTGCAGAGAAAGCTGAAAATATCAGAACACTTCTTCTGAATCCTTCTCAAAGCATGCACTTTGTACTTTTTTAAAATTACCACCTTTTTTTGGACTGGGGGATTGAACTTAAATGGCATCAGATTATCCAGCCATCTAATTCAATAACTGGCATTCCTGAGTCTTTTAACCAAAATTAGTCCCAGTTCCACCTGGGCATGGCTAGAACCGAGGGACAACTCTTTGGCTGCAAAGTACATCAGCAACTTTTGTCCATCACGACCTCGTTTCTCTCTTAAGCCCATGCAGCAGCATTTTACAGGTGCAGCTTCCCTCCGCAAAGCAGGTGGAATTTTCCCCTCTTAGGGGTTGGTTTCGGCTCTTCAAGTGGAGGTTTCATCAAAGGCCTGCATTGAATAGAGCAGAGGAAAAAGAGAGAGAAGAAGATAGAGCCACTGCACAATGTGAGAGGCTGGTAATATGCCCATGATTATTCATGGCTTGGCTTTCCAACTCCTCCCCTCCCCCTTCCCACGGTATCATAGCAACCGTGGTGCTGCAAAACCTATTTTAAGAACAGTAACTTTTCACTGAACGTGACTATGAGGTAGAGTGGGCGAATTCAGCCTCTAAAAATTGTCCACTGGGGCACTGTGCGGCAAGCAAGCCAGATCTCCTCAGACGGTCCTTATATAGCCAGCAGCATTCTGAGGTGAATTTGGAGGCCCCAAATGCCAAGGCATAAACATCGATTTCTGAACAGCAATTCCTTTAAATTGATTTAAAGGAATTGCTGTTCAGAAATCGATGTTTATGTTCAGTTCTCTGGAAATTCTGCTGAAATAATAACAAGGGTGAAGGAATCACAAACCCCCCCCCCCATTACATCTCATGCTCACATAGACGTTAGAAATTGAGCTGGATTTGCTGGTGAATTAAAAAAAAAAAAATCCGGTCAGCCAGAGTAAACGCTTTTTAGCAGGAAAGTCTGTGATGGAGAAATCTAACCTATATTTCCTAATCGAATTTGCTAAAGCTTTGGTCACAGAGGTCAGCTTGTTCTATTTGAGAAAGGAAAGGAAAAGGAAATAGGTGCCAAGTCCATTCAGAAAAAACATATGATTACTCCAAAATAAGAAAAGGATCAACAACCCTCAAGAACTTGCTCAGTAAATATTTATCTCATAGGACATAGAACAACAGAGTTGGAAGGAAATTTGGAGTTCATCTAGCTCCCTGCATGAGCAGAAGACCCTATACCAGTGGTTCTCAACCCCATTTCAGGACCCCATTTGGGTCGGGACCCCATTTGGGGTCAATCGACCATTTCACTGGGGTCGCCAAGCAAGGCTGTCTGCCATTTTTTTTGTCCGCCATTTTTTCCCCTTTTCCGGCGGGTGCCTTACCTCCCTTGGGCTGGGCCAGCTGGTGGTCGGCCTACTCTGTCTCTGCCGCTTGCCAGCTACGCCTCGGCCGGTGCAGGGGGCGGAACCACGCATGCACGGCGCTCCCGGGCAGGGAAAGTCCTCAACTTACGATCGGTTGGGTAGTCCTCGACTTACGACCGGTTTAGTCCTCGACTTACGACCGGTTTAGTCCTCGACTTATGACCGGTTGGGGTCGCAGCATTAAAAAGGTTGAGAACCACTGCCCTATACCATTCTGGACAAGTCTCTTCTTAAAAGCCTCCAGAGATGGAGCACCCACAACTTCTGGAGGCAAGGCGTTCCACTGGTTAATTAACGATTGTTAATTGTTCTCACTATTAGGAAGTTTCTCCTTAGTTCTAAGTTGCTTCTCTCCTTGATTATTTTCCATCTATTGTTTCTTGTCCTGCCTTCTGGGGTTTTGGAGAATAGTTTGCTCCCCCCATCTTTGTGGCAGCCCCTCAAATATTGGAACACTCCTAAGATACTCATTACAATCAATGTATAATATTGATTCCCAGAAAGGCACCTGCACAAGAATAAGATACTTGACAAATTTGTGAGCAGCATGCAAAATTCTAATTGATTCTGAAAAAAGATCCATGGGAGTTCTTTAACATTTGAAATATTATTTAACATTTAAAATGCACCAAAAGAATAATGTTAAGAAAATTTGGGAAGCTCATTCTGGATGAACACAGTGATAATTCCACCTGTCAGTATACTAAAGTCTTTGTGGATTATTAGTTCTTCCAATTTTTTTAAGTATCATACATAACTGTAGAAATGAATGTATCACCTATATGCTACTTAAACAGTGCCAGAAGTAAGTCTTTTTATTCTTAGTTTATATACATGAATACAGATGTTTCTACAGAAAGGTTCTGTACAGAAAGGTTAATCTTATTAGTGTCACATATATTAGCTTCAGCTGCTTTGTGGAAATGCCAAATTTCACTGTAATTGTTGCCTAAGAAGGAAGGAATAGTAGCTGTTATAGGGAGCTGTCCCAGGTGCTGACAGGATGTTCGTTCTTAACAAACAACTAACTCATCCATATCATTGTATATGCTTTACTAATGCAAATAACATCGACATAAAACTTGTAAAACACACAGACAGAGTATTTTCCATGGATTCAGCGTACATTTTACAGGGGAATGGTTATCTTTACTCCAGTAATCAGAACCTAAAAACCTATAAATATTAAAACTTACAAATAATTAAAAAAAAGAGTTGAATTAAAATAACTAGTTTAGCCACTCCTGTTCTTTATGTAATTCTTTAACGGTATTTTTAAAGCTATGGTTTCCTAGACAATTCTTATGCATTATGTATCCCCTTCTTCTATGAAAGATGCTTGAGACGATCAGATCTTTTTGAACTGCCTCTTTAAAATTTACCAGGAAGATAGATGGCAAAGCAGTTCTTACACTTAAGATAAGGACATATCTGATAGACACAAGTAATTATTTACAAAAATAATCATGATGTTTATCAAATCTCAGTGTATCAGGCAACCCCGTGTCATCTAGAACACACAAAGAGAAATCACAACCCCCCTCCAGCATATGTGATAATTAGGTGTCATGGTCTGGAAATAATTTGTTTTCTGTAGCACAACTGCAGCCTCTAAAATGCAGAGTTCCTTTAAAATGGCAAGCATGTACTTATAGAAGGAAGTTAACAGTACATTCTGATCAAGATGGATTCCACTGAGGAATAAGAAAGGGGGCAGATAAAGACAGAATTTTTTTCTGAATGGGAAGAAAGATTGCATAAAATTTTGGTCCCCTTGAGGGGGGATTGTCATGTGGGTTACTTGAAGCAGCATATAGTTTGGGTTAGTAGTGCTTTGGGTTTATTGGATGGGGTCCTGGAATTGAAATCTTGTTTCTGGTTTTTTGTGCCTCTTCTCTTGTGTAGATAGCAAAACTCTGAGTTTTATTCTTTGTCACCATTAGTAGCATATAATAAAGTGTTGGAGAGTTGTTTGTCTTCTGTTGTTCTCTTTTAATAGCCTCTCCCACTGAATTTTGCATGCCACGACTCCCTAAAACAGAACCGGATTCAGAGCAAATACTAGTAGAATAACATCCTTCTTTGTGAAGTGTGGGCATTTTTGCTAGAAATGATGAGAGTGATTGTTCCACACATTTGGAAGGCCTCCCTCCCAGCATAATAAATAGAGCCTGATTTTGTGATGGTCTATTTCAGAAGGAGCTAGTTTATCTCTCAAGTGATAATTCCCAAGGAAATGAGGGTCCTTGGTGCTCTCTGAGCTTGGTTGGTAGGAGTGTTTTTTTGCAGATGTTTCATTACCCAAACTAGGTAACATCAACTTAACAATACAAAGCAAGCTAACAGAAAACAACCCAGCCAAGGAATCTTCAAGACCACTCCCACCAACACTGACAAAGGAAGCCACTAGAGCAGGGGTGTCAAACTCGCTGCGTCACATGACATGTTGTGACGTATCACAACTTTTTTCCCCTTGTTGGAGCTGAAGTGGGTGTGGCTTCCACGTGACACATCTAGTATATAGGCCGGCAGTTTGACACCTCTGTACTAGAGTATAAGTTGAGAACAAACCATATTCCTTACTAGCACTGATGATATTACCTAGTTTGGGTAATGAAATGTCTGCAAGAAAACCACCAAGATCAGAGAGTACCAAGGACCCCCCCCCCATTGCAACCCTGAGATACACATCTTATCTTTTATGGGTCCAAAGGAAGTCCCTGAGTGTTTCCTCTTACACTCTTCTCTCAAGGGTGGCCCCCTTCTGATTCAACATTATAGTATGGAACATGAACTTAAGCCATCATGAATGGTTGAACTAATGTCAGAATGTCATGGTATCCTAGATTCTGAAGGGAAAACATGCACTGCTGATGGTGCCACCAGAACAATGCTGAGTGACCCTTCATCCCCCCCATGCCAGGCATTCACCTCAGAAGAGAGGCAACAGGAACATAGATCAGCCACCACCAAGGCCACCTCACTTGGCGAGGAGCTGCACTCAGAAGAACTGAGAGAAGATCCAGGTATTGGCCTTTCCTTTCCACTGAGCTTCAGCTGAGTCACCTTAAGGCCACAAGTGGGTTGCAATAGGGCAGGGGGTCTTCAAATTCAAACCTTTTATGACTCATGGACTTCAACTCCCAGAATTCCTCAGCCAGCGTGCCTGGCTGAGGAATTCTGGGAGTTGAAGTCCATGTGTCATAAAAGGGCCAAGTTTGAAGACCCCTGCCATAGGTCTTCCAAGCTCTTTCCAGTGACTGCAAAGGTGTTTAATTCTTGGTTAGTAATTAATAAGAGAACAACTTCAGCTGATTTAAGAGCACCATTAAACCATCAACACAAGTGACAAGGGAGTGGAGAGGGAATTTAAGGAAGCTTTTCTTGATTGATGTTAGGATCTAGTAACCTGAAAGGGGAGCTGCATTTGTCTCTGCAATTTATAATAAACAAGGTTAGGTCCAATTTGGATTAAATATAATAAAGAAATTTGCATCCTTCATCATGACTAGAATTTGTATTAATGTTAAGTGCTTGTAAGACTGAAGATGGTATATAGGTTTGAACCGTTCCTTATTGAGTTGGTAATATTTTAAATTCCATGCTATTGTTGATGGTTTTAATGTGCTGAATTTGTTTTATTATTAAGACAATTGGAATTATTTCGACATGCTCTCTTTAGAATAAGGCTTCATGCAAGAATGCCGGTATGTAAGAGAAGGCGCCATGCTTTCCTGGAGATTTTATTTATAAAATAATTTTCCTTGCATGGGACTACATATGATTTTATAGCAGATTCTAACCAAGGTATAGAATTTTAGAGATAGGGATATTCAATAGAGGTTTCTTGGAGTCATTTCTTCTTGACACAAGTGATCACATGGTTAATATAGACAGAATCTTCCCATCACTGTCTCAAGGACTGCACTGGCCAACTGGTGGGATCAAGTCCCAAGTTTGTTTATACAAAGGTGGTGATTGGTTAAATCGACAGTTTTAAATTGGAATGTCTGCCCTAGAGAGTATATTTGCCAAATCAAGAGAAGATTGCTAAAATCATAGACACAGGGAAGAATGACCTACCAATACCTCAATGTGGAGATTAAAGTTGTCATCTTGCAGTTGCTAGCAGATTATGCGCAAATCTTCAGCCCTGTATTTTCTACTAGGATTTGTGACCTTCCGGGTCAGAGATGGGGAACGAAGGCCGCTTTATGACTTATGAACTTCCTAAGCATAGCTGGCTGAGGAATTCTGAGAATTGACATCCACATGTCATAAAAGGGCCACCCTTCCCCACCCCCGTTCTAGGTGGTGCCAAACTATAAAGTTCTGTCTGTGTAATTCATTGATTAGTCAGATGCTGTCTTGTTTGTTTATACAGTATTGTCTTTTTATCTTATTATTTGTTTGATATTATGAGCCACCCACAGACAATCTGGAGTTGGGTGGTGCCAAAATCTAATAAAATAAATAATTAAGCAATGAATGGCCAGAATTCCATGTTGACTTAGGATTGCTCAGACTTGCAATTCAACTGCATGTGCATGTGGTTCAGGTGTAGCTGTCCATCTATAAGACTGATGAATAATCCTTTCAATAGCTGCATAAAACTTCCTTTATAAAATATCCACCAGCGTGAAAAAAAATATACGCTGAGTTATTTCTTTTCAACCATTTGCCACCTAAAAACAGTAATCCCGTTGAACTTCTTTTTTCAAAAAAGGTAGTGTTGAGAAATATAAGCATAAATATAAATATTAAAAAGGATAGTTTGTAATGACTGAATGGCATGGAAGAATAAACCAGGGTTGGCAATAAATGTTTGTCATTGGAAGTGTCATGTATATTGACATGTGTGCAAAGTTTTGCCACTGAAGTCCCTACTCCTAAGCAACCCATGATAAAAGAAAGAAAAGAAAAGTTGATTTAAAGTCAAATATAGAACAAAGTGGCTTTTTAAAAAAATTAAAGCAAAGTCAACAGAGACCAAAGTGGCAAATCCAAGTGAAAGGTACATGAAATAACTCTCAGAAAAGTAAACATGCTGAAATTTGAAGATGTGGCTTCAGAAGGAATGATTTTATAGCAATGACTGATAAGCAGCAAAGGAGAATGAAAGGAAAAGAAACTGGACTATGGTATCAAATCCCTGATCTGAAGGATACTTTGTGTATCAACTTCTGTTGTATATTTTTAAGATTTTTTTTATTTTAGAAAAGATGAACTTATCAACTTTCTGCAAAAAGGCCCGCTGGATAAAATCTCAAAAATTAATCAGAGGGTCTTCAAAATCCACATTTTCCTCCTAATTAGTAGGCAGAGCAAACCAACGGATACTACTGTGAAATCACTCTGTTTGCCTTGAAGACATTATATACAAAGAAGATTGTGATGTTGGGTGCCAAAAAGGATAGTTTAATGCTTCGTTGATTGGGTTTACATTGAATTGTGCTGGTGAAAGATTTCCAACTTCCTTGACATTTCTTTTTCCTTGTCACTCTGTGTCAATACACTGAGTTATCTACTTCAAGTTTTTTTAAAAAACAACAACAACATTTTTAATCTATTTCTGCACCCCCTTGTCTTTTATCGTTAGTAACATTCCATAAAATTGTTTTCAAAGGACAACTAAATATATTTCTGGGGCATGAGAGCTGGTAACTTAATAGCACAAAGAGAAAACCTCTTCTCCTTCCCTAGCAACACTGTCTTCAGTGGGATGGAAGAAGAAGAGAATCATTTCTTGTACAATGTTCAATGTAATCCTGGACTCCAAGGATGTAGTCAAATAAATAAATTCAATGAAATTAATCACTACAAATTTGAAAGCTTCTTAAAGAATCTATGTTTCATCGAGGGGATGTAAATAGCAGTAAATGTAAGATAGGATGATGGGGAATAGTGGGACTTGATGTTGTTAGTCATAATTAGAATCCTTTCTTGTTTGAGGTCTTCATAAAACAGATGGAAAAGCTAAACAGAGTATGAAATACTGTATTTTGTGTAAGAGTTGTCTTCTATAAAGTCAGTCAAGAGCTAGTGTGTTGTAATGCAGCAGCCCCCAACTTTTGGGGCACCAGGGACCGGTTCTGTGGAAAGAGGCTTTTCTGCAGACTGGAGGGGGCATGATTTCTTGTGCTGCCTGCATCCTGAAGATGAGGTTTTGCTCATTTGCGTGGCCCAGTTTCTGGCATGGACTGGTGCCAGTCCACGGACTGGTGATTGGGGATTCCTGTTGTAATGGATGAAAATTTAGGACACAGACAAAGAATAACAGAATGACAGAGTTGGAAGGGACCTTGGAGGTCTTCTAGTCCAACCCCTTGCTCAGGCAGGAAATCCTACACTAGGGTTGTCAAACTGGCAGCCCACAGGCCAGATGCATCACATGCAGGCCACGGCCACCCCAACTCTGCAAAGGCAAAAAAGTCGCGATACATCATGTGATGCAATCGAGTTTGACACCCGTCAGACAAATGGCTGTAAGAGATTTCCCATTGTTAGATGTTAATTAATTCACAAGGAAAGAGGAAACACGAGGCCTCTGTGTTATTTGATTTGTTTGGAAAAAGCTAGGGTAGTAATGTGATCAATACATTGATTAAAATAATCAATATATGATCATTGTTCAAAGAGCGGTATCAATGTCGCTTTCAGAATACAATAAAAAGCAGAATACAATACAAGGCAGAATGCAAAAAAAAAAATACAATCCAAAATCCCCAAATAGTCTGTTTTATGAAAGATAATAGAAGAAAGGAAAATTGATGGGCACACAAGAAATCGGAAAGGATCTGCACAAATTCTGTGATGTGTGTTCAGGTTTAATTTCTTGAGGAATAAATTACCTGGGCCCTAGGACAGGGATAGGGAACCTTGGCTCTTTTATGACTCGTGGACTTCAACTCCCAGAATTCCTGAGTCAGCATGGCTGGTTCAGGAATTCTGGGTATTGAAGTCCACAAGTCATAAAAGAGCCAAGGTTCCCTAACTCTGCCCTAGGGCAAGGGTGGGAAACCATGGCCCTTTTATGACTTGTGGACTTCAACTCCCAGAATTCCTGAACTATGGGAACCACAGGTTGGGTTGCTGAAGGCTGCATTTAAAAGAAAACCCAGTTAAGCTGCAAGAAGAAAAGCCATGGGGAAGTTCAGCTATGGGGAAATGTCTAGGGCAGGGGTAGGCAACCTTGGCTCTTTTATGACTCGTGGACTTCAACTCCCAGAATTCCTGAGCCAGTATGGCTCAGCTTGGAAACCTCTCCCTTTCCCCTCAGCATGGCTGGCTCAGGAATTCTGGGAGTTGAAATCCACGAGTCATAAAAGAGCCAAGGTTGCCTACCCCTGGTCTAGGAAGATTCTCAGTCATCCAGGTCATAGTTGTCTCAAAGTTGGTTGTTTAAAAAGGCATCTGGACTGTATTTTTGTTTTGTTTTGTTTTTTGAGGAAGAAGAAGGAGACATTTCCCTTCTCATCCAAGAAGCTTCATCAATTGTGGCAACTGATGAAGCTCCTTGGATGAGAAGGGAAATGTCTTCTTCCTCTTCCTCAAAACTACCGTTCAGCTATAGGGGATGACATGATACGGAACTAGACTGGAGATCAGTGACAGAATTTAAGGACCTGAACTGTGAAAGGGAAATATGAATCTGACAACACCGTTCAGTGTGACATGTGATTAAAAAGCCCCTGATGAGACTAGTAATCATCTCAAGAGAGGGAACAATAAGT